ATTTCTCATCGTATTAAAACTGTTTGTCTCACAGTAGGCCATYATTTWATTGCTAATTATARCGTTKCTTTKAAGGTCTTCCCACGTCGATGATACCCAATTCCATGCCTCAAAACAACATGCCGAAYATGAACGCGCAAACTGCGGGCTTAACTCAGATGAGCATGCATCCTAACTATTCCTCTCCTCAAGTTTACCCTGGRCCTACCATGATGTATCAAAATTCACAGTAAGTACACTGTGAACGCCGGAGTTTTGTATAATCTTATATACTTACTTAACCTTGTATTCCTAGGTATCCTATGATGGGCTTAAATCCTTTCTTAGCGCAGCAGGTTAGTTGATGAATTTTCTTTGATGGGCGGGAGTTTATGAGTTTATGATAAACTGAAGTATGCCATTCAAGTGAAGGTCTCTCTACCCCTCTCAATCCCCCCTCCCTCCCTCTCTACTCCCCTGCCCCCCTTCCCAAAGGTCTAGAAAATCCGTAAACGGGGAAATGTTTTATAAGTGCATTTCTTTTAATCAGATGTACGGCATGCAGTTACAAGGAGGAGGGTACTACCCACAACCAATGTTTCAACCTCCGGTATCCGACCAATCTGTCCAACAGAGACGTAGACCGAACACTGCAATTCCCATTAAGGCTCCATCGGTAAGTCTTTAATATTTTTGCTTTTATATAGTTTGTATGTCTCCTTTCAAATCAACCAAGTATYGAAGTCTATAATATCGGTTGTATTTGTTAATGGTTTTCTCCACGATGACRTCATGCTTGTTTCGGCGAAGTGCATCATGGTATTGATAAAAGTATCAAGATGGCGGATGCTGTTGTATAAAACAGCAACATCATATAAAATGATTTCACATTTAAATACACTTAAATACCTGTCTTAGAATGCTTGTTGTACGTAAATCATATCTTTTCAAATTAAAATTTTGTACTTGTACCTGTCATAATAAATATCCATAACCTTCGGTCGTGTATTCTGGATCAGTCTCTTTAGACATCCTTTTTGAAGTCGCTCTATTTCGTTTGAATTTATAGTTCTTTCTTGTTCTTTWTGTCTCTCTTTTTTAATTAACACTATGTTTCTACTCTCTTTAGGAAGCATAACCGACATTTTATTCTTTGTTAATCAAGAATCCCCCGTAATCCGCGATTACATCTTTCTCACAACGCGCGTTTTGATTTGATTTATGGTGAGCGGTGTGCAAGAAAGTATTTTTCGCSACGTAAATTCTCTGTAATATCTTAATTCAAGGTTCCCAGCRCCATCTTGAATGGTAGCCGTGCCTCTACGCGAGACTACCGTTGAGCGTGCAGAGATTCAAACCGTCTTTCACACCTAGAGTCAAATTTTCACATTTCTTTCACTGCACGCTCAACTCAGATCCTCTCGCTTCRATGTAAAGGCACGGTTACCTTTCAAGATGGCGGAGGGAACCRCSAAGTAACCTATTTTACTATGTRGTTAGTGTGTTTGTACAAAGGAATATTCACACTCAGCTGCAAATGGTATATGCGTTATATTGTTATGGTTTAATTGTAAATAATAGTCCAGTTTTTTATTGAAATGGTTTCAACGATCTTTACTTCTAATATCYGTTGTGATTTTTACGGGGCCGAAATTAATGGTATTTTTATGCCATGCAAAGTCAAATTGCTGGTTTAGTGTATCGTCTTTGTGTACAGAGGTGAACTGTTTAATTATAGGACTGACTATCAATGTTTTCTATACTGATGTTTTAATTGCTTTATCTAATAAAAAATCACTATCATTGCAGTTTATCGTCTTTGCCTGAAAATCAGCATCAGTTTGAGAGAAAATAAGCATCAGTTTGAGAGAACTCGACTGTGCCTCACCAACCTCTTTCTGTTYGYTACATGTAYCAAAAAACAAAAACAAAACAGCAACATAAGTTTTTCATAACATTTAGTCTCTTTTWAACTTGTTTAGTCTATTTTACATAAATCGGTGTTTCTAATTTAGAGCTAAGTACATTGAATGGGGCGCGCGCTCTTAGGAAAATGCGGATTACCTGTCCCTTGCCTCGCGGGATCAAAAACTAGTTTGTCGTTAACATAGGCCGCCCAACTATCACATTAGAGACAAAAAAGTACTCGCGAGGCGCGGGATCGTGACGTAACACCACAGGTAATCCGCATTTTTGCTAAGAGCACGCGCCGATACATATACATAATAAAAGCGGATAAAAGCGTACGCAGTCGATCTTTTTTGTCTCTAATGTGATAGTTGGGCGGCCTATGTCGTTGATCCCAAGAAATCATGCATGACGTAATACCACATTTAACTCGCACTTCTCTAAGAGCGCGCGTAGATAAATAAAATTGTGCGCGGCTCGTTCTTTTCTCTCTCAAGCAATAGTTGGGAAGCCGATGGTTGTAAAGGACGATTTGTACGTGACCCAACCCTACTCTAAATCACTAGCAGACATACATAAACAAATTCCAAAAAGAAAATAGTTCCTCAAATGAAGTTTCAGATTGTACGATGTAGCAAAAAAGTTAGCAGTATTTTTTTAAGCKGACCAACCAGCGGAGCGCGGACCACCCAGTGCGTTTTTGCGAACATTTCCGTTAAGAATTCCTGAATTTCATTTCGGTTTTAAAGTCTACTTTTTAAAATAAATCTTCATCTTCATGAAGTCGTTGATTTTCTTCTTGCGTAATGGCAAGTGTGGACTCTTTATGGACGGCTGACTCCTGACATGTTTCCCCCGTGGGCTCAACATCCTCTTGTTGCACTGTTGAGTGCTGCGTCAATCTGAACGACGTTAGTCTTCTGGACACACCACGCAAAACAGTTTTGAAGCAACTTCTGTAACTTTCACTTAAAAATATGCACAGGCAGGGATTGATGGCGGAGTTCGAAAGAAAAATCAAATGAAAAATAAAAGCATGGTTCCATTTGTCGCAAGGAGTGTGCGTGTCCCACGAATAGAAAGCTAGTAAAGCAAACACAGTTATTGGCGTCAAAGAAGCCAGGAACACCAGTAAGAGAATGATCACCTTACGAAACACTCTAAYGTCTTCCTTGCGTCTTCGTTGGCGGATAGCTAAAGGCTGCTCGSAGAGACTTTTCTTGAACATCAAAGACGCGATAAGCCAAGTATAAAGTAYTGTAATCAAGAGAATTGGTATGCACAGCACATTTACAAATATCACACCAAAGTATATTTTCTGAGAGGAGGCGTCGTCAAGTGGTGCCCAACTCMAATAGCAAGCCGCTCGTCCTTTTATGTGCTTTAGTCGACGAGCGTAGAGTGTAGGTGAGTGAAGGCAGAAGCTAAAAAACCATATCACAGCGATGATGTATTTTCGTCGTGCTGGAGTTATTAGAGAAGGTCTTAGCGAGTACACAATTGCCCAGAAACGATCAAACGCAATAACAGCATGACTTAAGATTGAGATACAGATAGAGAAGTCAGTCAGGAAGAAGCAAAACTTGCAGGATATGGASCCTAACACACCGTCAAGAAGCCAGCGCCAGTTCCCGACGTGAAGCTCCGTTAGAACTCTTGGAATGACGACCGCTGCAATRAACATATCAGAGGCTGCCATGTTGGCGATGAAAAAGTTTGTTGTTTTCCTCATCGCCTTCTTTTTGATGACTGTAACAATGATGAAGATGTTTCCAGCCAGTGCAAATACCATTATCAATGACAAAAGWACTGTCTTAATGGCTTTTACTTGTGTAGAGTCAGTCTCGGCGGCTGTGCAACCTTTAGTAGTAGCGTTCATATCGGCCATATCTCTTAGMTGTGTCGTCGAATTCATTCTGTTGAAGAAATGAAATAAAGTACTTGTGAGCTGTAGTTGTTGCTGTTTTGGTTTGGTTTGGCTTGATATGCAGTCTAATAAAGTTGTCACGTTATTTAGACAAGAGCTTTTAAATTATATCAGTTCCGAGTAACCTACTGTAAAAGGTCTCAAGGTCTCAGGATTAATGTCGTATGGTTGACGAGTTGTTCTTCAATGTGGGATCAAAATGTTTGTAGACCAGGGCGCATGCTCACTATACAATACACATACTATTCATTGTGTCAATATTTTCAAAAGTGAGATTTCTGTTCTAGTTTGAGACCAACGTCTGAGCGTTAAGTTGAAGGTCTGAAAGTAGACAGTACTTGTGARTGTTTTATCSGATCGCAAAATATAGATTAAGTGCTTAGTACATTAACTGTGATGTAACCGAGACATCTAAAAAGCTTYGAGCTATAATAATGTTAGATTCTCATATCTTAATGTCAAGCGCCTGTTATTCATGTTGAAAATCYAACAATATCTTAACCATAACATACTTTTAAAGTCCATTTCCAGAGATATCATCTCATGTTATCAGTATTTGGAGTTCCGTCCGCCATGATATAGTTGACAGTAATTTCAAACAACATGGTGACTCAATATATGTTTTTTTCCAAAATTTCCACACTATCACTCATAACTGGACACCCACAGCCCATACAGTACAGATTTCGCGAAAATCAAGGACGATATTTCGCAAATACTGAACGTCGCGATTTTGAGACGAAATGTGAATCATTAGCCAATGAATAGAATTTCACATTTTTWAAATTTTTATTCAATGTAGCTTTGACACCAGAACTGGTACAAAAATTTAAATTATCCGATTATCACCTCAAATACAACATAACATAAATAGTAAAATCACGTGTTCTATATTTCATATGAAATTTCGCGATTTTTCAAAAGGTGCTTTTAGCACTAATAGAAGTSTATTTATAATAACCGACATTTAATGTCCGATATTTAAACTCAACAAATCGCTAATGACGTCAAAAGAGACGTTCCAAGCACAGTGTTTCGATAGAATCTGGAGCTATGATTGHCGTGTGTCGTAAGAAAACTCCGTCACTTCGATTTATGCATGATTTCAGATGATAAATGTCGATAGCGTATTAAAAAGAACACGGGGTATATCATGGTATCTAATCCACCGCTGTGGCGGTTTGCTTTTTTCCTCGCTATTCAAAATAAATATAAACTACATTAACGAAAGGAAACGCTGGTGTCACAACTTAGAAACTTCTATTCTGAAACGGATTCGATATTTTTAAACAGGATTAATTGAAAATACTTCGTTGCATTCATAATGATTACATTTGCTACAATACTACAGCAATAAGGAAACGCTGGTGCCACAACTTACAAAAACAAGAATAATTGTATTTGGATTGAATGTTATAAAACAGGATTGTTTGAAAATACTTCGTTCAATTCATGATGATTTTATTGCGCGCGCTATGATCCTAGTTTTTTGAGGTCAACTACTAGATTATTGTTATACTTTCCGTAATATTACCTTCATTCCAGTGGTTATATTTTGCATCCACTTTCTCCGGTGCTCCGGAGAAGCGAAAAAAGGTCTCCCTTGTACGATGATAATGTACTAACAATTCTATGTACAAGATTATAGAATTACAGCACTGTGTCATAGATGCACATACAGTAATAGCTAAATCTCGATATTATATTTCGACATATCGTGCTGTTCTCTGTTAGTGCGCCAGACATTCTTGCCGATAACCRACGAAAGCTTTGCATTTCACTCAGCAAATTGGCAATGAAACTAAAAGAKTTTTGACTGTTATCACTCTTGATCTCTTCCCTCACTCATACCTTCTTACCTTATCTGACACAGCTTATTTGCACGAAGTAACTGCGTTTGCACTTAACCCCGATCCACGATCCAGCACCGTTTCTATCTAGGTTTACTAGCTGACTCAATATTCCTTGAAAGTATAATGTTGAAATAGTAGATTGGATGTTATTTAGTTTGTCAGCGGATGAAGTTTCATGTTTCCGTCCAACCTTCCGTTTGTCATTATTATAAGAAGAATAACGAGCTTTTGGCTAAATTAGCCATTCCCATCAGTAGCTTGTTGCATGGACAACTTTATCAAAAATCTTGGTTATCTTTTGATAATCGTGATAAATGTGACATGAAACTGTTTTGACATTAGAACTAAGCTCCAATTATTTCTCATTGCGGGCTCAATTTACTCACCTTAAAAGATGAAGTGTTACGTGCAGCGCTTTTATATTGACCGTCTTTACTGTGTATGTTTATACAGCGCTGCTGTATTCATTCATTGACACGCCGGGACCTATTCATCATTGCTGTCGAACCGGTGATAGATTGTCTACTARGACTTAGAAGATCCAAATACAATACAATCGTCTTAGCAGGCGAAATGGCTTKCCCACTTGCCGGATAAATGGATAGATTCTAGTGCTTTTTTCTCTCTCTAATCCCATATAAACATCCATTTAATACAAGTTGGGATAATTTTACTCCTTTAGCTTTAATAATTAAAAGCAATAGTTAGATTTTGGTCATTTGATCAAAATCTAATGACATCATGTGATGATATTAAGTAATGACAGCGCATGACCATTGAATGAGTTGTTTGTATCATAGATAGTTGATAGTCRAGAGGATTATTCTACGATATCAGCAATAAAAAAGCAAATACGCCTTTTTAAACAAGACCCCTACCTGAGTGTCAATTTATTGAATAACGTGGAAGGGCAGTATTATTCTCTAGTGTGAGAAATATTCAGTCAAACAAATATTTTATTAGAACCTTGGGTTGTAGGATTTCTTCCAGGATTTCTTTCTTTTAAGAAAAAAAAAAACAAAAACAAAAACAAAAAGAAACAAAAAAAAAAGGAAAAATATTATTAGTTTCTTAAAAGAAACAAAAGAATGCCAGAGTGTTGACATATCGTCTCTTAGCATATTTGTAACTTAAAAAAAATTAACGAGCTCTATAAAATTAAAATAAAGAAAAAAAGGAGAAGATCATGCGTTCTTTTCAAATTTAGTTTATTAATGGTTTTGGTTGAAAATTCTGGGTTTTTTTTTAAATAAACTTTGAACACAAAAAATGACACTGATAGGTACTCCGTTATCGACACCGCACCAAAACTGTGGTCAAAGCCGGTTTGATTTAATAGTATCGTTGTTATCAAGAGAAACATGTTGCTTCTCAGGGCATAGGACAACATTATGCTATATCAAGATTAGAAAGATTAATTAACTTAAATCCAAAATAGATTTGCCATCAACTTTACCAGGTCAATGTTACATGTAATTAGCTGATTTCTAAATTCTCATGAAGGTATATCTAACACGCGATTTAACTATGAATTTATAAAGATTTTTTTTTTCGTTTTTAATAATTATCATTGTAAATTTGATTCTGTATTACTCATTGCATAAAATATGAACTTTCCGGCTTTGAAGCACAAAGTTTTTTTAAAACTTTTTAAAATTAAAAAAAAGAAAAGAAAAAGAAACTACAGATTTCATGGGGAAAGTAAATGCTTTGCACTTTTATAGTACGTGTGCTCCTATAATAATCTACACATTTTTATTATCTATAAAATGCCTATATTTCTCCATCACTTGAAGTTGCTATTTTCACTAGTGAAAATACTAACACATTCACTGGAAAAAATCGTTCACTTTAAAAGGTTGTAAATTTGATGTAAATATTATGTAAGTGTCCAAAATGATGTAAATTTGATGCTTAAATTTGATGTCAATTTACATCAAATTTACATCATTTTGGACACTTACATAATATTTACATCAAATTTACAACCTTTAAAGCGCGCGATTTTTTCCAGTGATTCGTGGTATTTCAATATATTGACTATATTGGAGATATAAATAAAAGTTAATTTTCAAACATAATTTGCTTTTACTGATAATTACAGCATAAACAGACTATTACATGGTCTTTTGGACATACGAATTTTATCTTCTCGTTTTGAAAATCTCGCTACGCTCACTCGTGAGAGATCTTTTCAACACTCGAAGATAAAATCCGTATCTTCGCGCGCCTATGTAATATCCTCTATTCAAAATTCGTATCTTCGTCGTTTTATCAACTTCTTTATTAATTACAACTGTCTTTTATTTCTGTCTTTTGTCTACGACAAAATATCATGCTTAATCTTTATTCGACTTAATTGAAGTATTCTGATATTTCAAGTGTTTCAAGTGTGATATGTTGATGTTATATTGATCATCTAGAGTTCCTTATTTTGAAAGAGTGCAGCCGTTGACAGCCCACGGATCGCCGCTGTCGATGCGTTGTTATTATTCCTATTGTACAGGTGCCCGGGGCTCGTATCATTTCACGTATAGGGAAATAAAAACACCAGTTCGCTACTTCCACTGAACACTTTAATATCATGGTTATTATAATATCGTCGCGATCCATACTTCGAATGCGTGTGTTCAGTTTTAATACTAAGTAACGTGTCGGTTCCGTTTGGCCAATATCGACGATTATCTTCTTTTGGAAGTCCGGTTTTCAGTTTGCATGTAATGAGCGAACAAACTAGAAGTATAAATGAATGGAAGGGTGAATGGATGAATGAATAAATGTCTTCCACCTACAATTCACAACATATTCGAGAATATCAGAAAAAATATTAAAGTGTGGGTGTTATATTGTATCTCCCGTTGACCTCATATACAATACTGTAGCGAGCTTTTTCATTACCAACTGGTCTAAAATTAGATAGATGTGCTCATGTACTTTTGTAAACCATGAACTCTACTATATTGCATATTGTATTTCCTTTGACTTTGGATGCACCGCGGAATCGTGATCAATGTCGGCGCTCATAGCAAAAAAAAAGTTAAATTACATGCTATTACGATTACACTTCTGCTGTTACCAGCGATAACTCAGGTGTATGACCTAAGAGATTGGTTATGTCGCAATAGAGCTGATACAGCTATCTTTAATTTATCTTTCGATGTTCTTTTTAATGTACCAATATACGCATCTATTGCGCATGCGACTGATATGGGCGATAAATAGCTAGTCCGTCGCTTTATCGAGTTTTCATTTCTTTAATTCCCATTCATTTCAATTCCCATTTCTTTTGCTTACTTTCGGTGTAACTGTTTTTGTTTTGAACGTAAAGCAAATCAAAGCGGAACTCTATACGTACAGTTAGTCTCATTTTGAGTAAATCCTTTCTCCCATTCCAGAGCCGTTGTGCTCTTATATATGACACACCTTCCAAATAAAAAAATAACAACTTGAAACCACTTTACTGACATATTTTAAGTGGACAATTTCATGGCTCAATTTTCTATTTTCGTGCACAGTCGTCATTTGAAAAAATACTGACCGCTATCTCTATAACTGATCTCTTAACCGATATTTTAAGATTAACCTTTTGATTTGTCGTCAAACTGCACGATATGTTTGAAGAACCTTACATAGACATACAGCCAAGAGGTCTGTTGGACTTACTATCTAATTTCACGAGGAAATCTCATGTTTTCACCCATAGTGCGAATGATATGTGTCTTGAATATTTATCGAATATTTTGCAAATATTTGTAGTTTAGTTTCTCGAACTGATTATTTCATTAGGGTTCACGTACAATGTTTCATTTCATTTTCACATGATACATCATGATAACATCTTTTAACCAAAAGTGGCTTCCTCTCATAGACTTTGTAAACAACACACTGCTTGCGTGTTGCCCTACTAGCGAAATCTTCAGTGCTGTCTGCTATATATGATAATAATGAAAAAAATGAATATATAAGGGTTTTTTTTGTCTACTCACCTTAAATGATTTGTGTTCTGAAATGGCCTTGTGCCGACTAATTCCAAATTAGTGACTTGTGCTCTCAATGTGTTTTTATAGACGATACTAGTCACCTAAATGTTGACAGCCACATTCATTATCAATGTCCAAAAAAAACATGCGTCAATTATTTGTACAAATTCAACTCGAGGTACATGTCATAAATGGTCACCAGTTTACAGGCTTAGGAATATTTAAAGCACGATCGTGTTGCGCAGAAACTCAACAGGATGAAGGAAGATGAGGATAAGTGATATCATTTGCATAGCTTTTAGGGCAATTGCATTTGATTAATACATATTTAAAATTGAAAAAGACGCTACTTAATAGAAGCTCTTGGCTCATAGTTTAGTTTTGATCAGTTGATAAAATACGTGGAAGATATAAAGATATCCTAAATGGCAATTAGAGTGATACTGAGATATTTTTATCAAAGAAAGTTGAAAGCGTATTAAGAAAGAAGTACGATCGACAATCCATTAATTTACCTAGCACCCCCCACGTGAGACGAGATTGATCAACTGTGCCGAACCTTAACAGCTGAATCAAAAAAATCTTTTAATTGTGAAATTCGCATGAAATGTGTTTTCAAATTGACTGTAAACCAGGTTCATGGCTATGCAAGAACAAACAGACCATCGCTAGGCTTACTAATATTGAATTAAAAACAGCGTTTAAGATTGGTTATGACGTCAACGCCCAGATGTTGTGTTGATATTAAAGTAGAGCGTTCATTAATTGGCCCAAAACCTTCATTTTGGATGTTATTGTATTGCAGTAGTCAATGACCATACATGAGGACACAAGGGAAGCTTGAATATGAATAAAAACAGTATTTCACGAACAGCAGGAATTGAAAGCAAACCGGGAATGGGAACAAATCCAGTGGAGTAAAAGAGAAAATATTACTCAGAAGTATAAAAAAAATGACATTAAACAAAAAATATTAAAAAGTACGGCGTTTACACGATGTGAAGTTTGTCTAAAAGGAGTTTTTTTTATGTCGTGATGAGACTTAGAACCAGCTTTTGTGGGTTTGACGCTATTCTGTGCTGTGATTGGCTAATGCTGTAACGAACTTTCAAATGGAGAAGGGGGTGTGTAATATATAATAAGGCTAATATAATTTTGCTCTGAAACTTGTTCTAGAAGAACCTATTTGCGTAAAATTAGAAACTACTTTGTGAAAGGGAGCGCGTAGAAATTTACCCCCAAAAAAATTTCAAGTTTGAGTAGGTTGTAGACGAAGTTTGTCTGACAAAATGGGCGATCCGTCGCGCATCGATGTAGTAACATGACAATCTTTACAATCTGAAAGTGTTAGCGGGATGTAATAGCCACTCTTCCTGCCATACTTCTAAAATGACAATTTAAGTACCGGGACTTCAAAAGCAAAGAAATGACACCGGATAGCACAGAGCATCAGAGTATCACAACAGCAACACACATTTGAAATCAGAAATAGAAAAAAAAGGGGTGGAAACTGTCATAAAACATTATAGAAACGATTTATACATTTACCTGTATTCTATAAAGAAGAATTTTATGTTCCAGCGCGATCGGGTTTTGGTGCAAATCAGGTCTTTAAAAGGCATGAACTTTATAAGGAAGGGCAATACCCTCTTATTATTCAGACCCGGCGTAGGAGTATTGATTCTCATTGGTTGCCATCCACTGTTAAAATCTGTTCCTATCTATAGCTTCCAGGCTATAGAGTCAGTTGCTGACTTTCTGTTTCTTCGTGACTATGTTAATAAAATAATTATTAATCAAACCACAAGACTAAACTCAAACCTATTTGAAAGACCGTGATTGCTTTAGTCAGCTGAAGTTTGACTTATTTTTTCCTGAAATGAGATTTTTTCCGCATATGAAAATAAAACATTCACCCCATGTATTATAATAAACCCAACTTTGATTAAACTTATTGAGTTTTGCCACGGTAAATTGTATTTCAATTTCGCAAATTTTCAAAACAAACTTTTTATTCTGATTGTTGTTGTTTTTTTCCATAGTTTAATCTTTCTTATCAGTTAGTCGCCAAATTTGCTGAGATAAGTAGGGTTTAACTAGTTTTAGATTCGTGGGTTAATGAGACAGTTACAATTAGAAACGATAAATCCATACTGTGAATAAAGTCGGCAAATTTTAGCAAATTAAGTTTCTGATATTTAGCAGCTTGTTATACGCGGCGCGCTTGTTGTTTTCATAATTGATTGGATTGTGCCGCTTCCTAATTTCTTATTTTTCTTTCATAACCAATCTCACTTTTGGTCTATGTTTCGTTTGCATTTTGCTGTCACGACTTTCAATTTTTTTCTTCTTTGAGGTAATTCAATCGTTGTGATCAAGATTAATCTGTCACATTGTGTTTGCTGGTTTCTTGAGTGGTCGGTCTTTCTTTCCTTGTATAAAGACGGAACGATCTCTTTAGCTACTCAAAAACGCTGATCGAGTCATTCGATCAGTTCTGCAACGATATATATGAATTTCTTCAAGCTATTCTCAGGTTTATAAGGATATATAGTTTTATCTACAAAACAGTAACATTTGTTTAAAACGTACGGGTCGGTTGTTGGTCACGTGATCCACAAGGGCGGATCATGCATTATAAACTCCATATTGGTTTAAGTTATCAAGAACAGTTCAGTGCATTGCGTGGCATTTTGATCATGTCTACATCGAAAATAGATATACATCTTGATCTGGAAAAATAGATCGACTAAAAAAAAATAAACAAAAAAAAAGTGTGCATGCAAGCTGAATAAACGACCGGTATTCTAACTCCTTGTATAAAATAATTTCCAAAAGACGTAGTTGTAAAGATGACTAAAAATTAAAGAAACAAAATTACAACCAAAAATAGTTAACTATGAAACATTTTTGTATGTTTTCCCATCTACAATATTGCATGTAGCTATTTTAGTCACTTAGCATCCACACACACCAGATGTACATAAGAACATTCTGGATCAAAGTATAAAAAATATATGATTTAAAAAAACATGATTTTATCTAAAGATTTTACTTATACTGGATTTATCACCCAAAATTAGGTTTCCATCAGGCCTTAACACATTTGAGTTCTCCCTATAAGCTCTCAAGATAGTCTTAGTCAATGCATGAAACCGCGAAAAGGACGTATTAAAATCAATCCAGAATCATAAGATTATATCCACCATTTAAAGCTTTTTAACAATGTTTTCTTTTTTGATTTTTCTGAAATAGCCCATGATGCAATCTGGCTTCTGTGTATTTTTGGGTGTTGCAACCCACATAAGCGAGAATCCCTTGAAAAACAAAAGAAACAAAAGAAACGCCGCTGTGTTGGATAAAAGAACAGAAGATACTAATAAGGAATGCTTTGTTCCCATCCAACATGGCGGCGATGACATAACTTGCAAACCAAGAGAAATTCACCTTTTTTTATCGCTGGTTTTCAGTTGATGACATCATGGCAGCCATATTTATTTGTCAATTATACTCTATAGTACGTTCTTTTTGAATTCCTACTGGAATGAATAAAAAACCAACATCTTTTCTTTTTCAATATCTGCATTTCCGGCACTTTGTATTTTGTTTCGTTAATTTTTTAGCATTTCGTCCAGTTGGCAGTTACTCTTAATCGCAATATCCTTTTTACTCCCTTAGCTCGACGCGGGAGGTTATCCTTAAGTTGGTAAATGTCCATAAAAACAAAATCGAATTGCGCTCAGACGAAATTGAGGCCAAATTCTATTTTTTTATATAGCCCTTGGCTGTTTTTATCATCGCGCACGGCATGTATTTTATACTCTTACCTGCTCTTGTAAATTGTTTTGGCATCTGATACATTTGGTAAAAAAAAAGTTGCAGTAAAAGTAGTTAACTTTTATACAACTGATATTTAAGTTTTTTCTACACTATTGAACGAGAGGCGCATTACAAATCTCTGGTCTTAATTTTTTTTTCTGTTTTTTTTTTTTGTGCTTTATTGTTGTTCAAGTTTCGAAAGCTTTGCTTTTTTTAATATTTCGAGGTTCAATTGTAATTTAACCAAAAAGGAAGGACCAAATCTCTAAGAAAGGGCCTTAGAGCTTGCCCATACCATACGCTCAGCCACAGAAAGTTTTGTAGAGTGCAAGTCACATAAGCATGAAACTGCAATTCTTAACTATGTAGTGCTAAATAAGATTTAGTTATAAACTAACTAAGAATTGAGAACAATGCTACAAAGAAATTCAAATAATTGGCATTGTGTTTATGCTTTGTTGGATTCTTAGTTAGTTGATAACTAAATCTTATTTAGCAATACATATTAAGAATTGTTTCATGCTTATGTGACGTGCACTCTATCTGCAAATTTCATTTTAATTGTATATGCAGAAATTTCGCGTCTGGAAGCATTTGTTTTTGTTATGTTTTCAAGTGGCAGAACCAGTATCCTGCCAGAAATATTCGACTTTGAATAATACGCCCACTTTATATTTTTACTAAACACAAAGCTATACGAAAAAGACAGTTTTTGCGGACTTTTTTCGTGGTCAACACAGTCGCGAACAACGGGACTGAGAGATTTTAGAGGTGTGTAAACTTTCTCATGGTTAATGGTAAGATTTTTACTGCACAGTGCAACTGCCAATCATTATAAATAAGCTCTAAACCAGCAAAATTTGCCTTGGATCTCAATGTTTTTGTATATAACCAAAGCCAAAAATGATGAAAACATTGCATGCTGAGTAAGCCAAACTTCGAAACAATGACTTTTCTTTTCAACCATGCGCCTTAAAAACAAGATGAGTATTTCTACCTTCAAGGGGCCCTTTACACGTTGCCAATTTATCGTTCACTTTTTTTATCTTTGAAATGAATATAAAGCTATTCATTGGCCTTGAAAGTTCTTAAATTGAGAACGCTAAGGCAGTCATTGCAGTAGAATGGCTTATGTTTCAGTGTCTATAGATATTCCTTTTTTTCCGAGACGGACGAGCACGAACTGCATAGATTAAAACCATGATACAAACACAAGTCATAGTTTGTAGATGGAAATGGTTAGGAAGCCTTTTGTTGTTAGGTTTTTGTGCACTTTTTTCCAAGCGTGACCATGCACAATCTTTTGTTAATAACTATTGTTTTGGCCAAATTGGTCACATCTGAATGAACAGAGCGAAAATTATTCTTTTGACTTTTTCTTCAAACGAAAAAATTTTAACCAATATTGAAATATTTCATTTCATAATCTCATAGAGGGTGTTTATATTTAGTCATTTTATTTGCAATTTCTATCGTCCTTAAAGCAACGTTGTGCACGGTCATGATTGATTCAACCTCAAAATACGTACAAAAGAGGCAGAAAAGAAGTACAACAAAAGCTTTCCAAACCATTCCCCTCTATTAACTATGCACAAATGTGTTGGACAAAAAATTCGCGTTGTTTTCCTTATGAACATTTGTGAATCTCGAACGTTGTATATAAGATTGTTTTGATTGGAATTGGTTTGTCATGTGGTCGAAACATGGTTGTGCGGGCATGCTCTTTGTGTGTAAATTATTCGTTCTGTTTATTCAGTCGAAGTAGTAGAAAAAAGTGGACCCGTAGCACAGGTTTATTAAATAACGTTAACAATAGAATAGGATGATAAAGAGTAATAAAAGTCCGAATGAGAAATATTATTGATCTCACTTTTAGATTTTCGCCAATAATGGGGTACGGTGTAAAATATGCGATATTCTTGATTGCATGCGCGATATCTGAACTTTTTGTAATCCCCTATTAAAAAAAAAAATAGTTAAAAGCACATTTTTTAAAGTTCGTTTTGGCCAAATAGCCAGTTAGCATGACAGCAGCAAAATGAACGGCTATTGACGGTGACAAGATAATGGTGGCAAGGTACTGGTACTCAAAAACAACCAAAACAAAGGAAACAAATGACAAACTCTTTTTAGACATGTTCTAGGATAATTGATTTATTGTTAGGCTAGGTTTAAAGGCATTAGCATTTTGTAAAGGGAATTACATCGATTCTTAGCTGAAGTGGCAGAATACTCGGCCACACAATGTTCTTTTCGAGATCTTTCCCATTGGGAATACAATATCATTTCAATTTGCTTAATGGGGTAGAATGACCCACTGAAATATACTCCGACTGGAGCATTACGTACTAACCCAATTTTGCATGTCAGCATTCGTGACCAATGGACTTTTGATATCACATGGCGTGGCATTTCGTTCCTGCTATCTGATAAAATTGAGGCGTTAAACGACCTTGACAATCAAAATCAAAAACCTTTCAAGAAAAGTACTTACATATGGATAAATGTTAGTGCTCTTTATTTTTTCTGGATTGTTAATGGCTGCGAGTAAAGAGCCAAAATGTTTTCACATTTGCAGCCATGTTGAATTTCTGCAGTATCTAATTATCTTGACATCACCCTGCTAATGACGTCAGATCGATCACGTGGGTTCGAGTATGAAATACTTTGTTTAGCTCCATTTCAGGAGGAGCCGACGGGGTCTGTTCTTCTAAATGACTGTTCTTGTACGAATGTTTTCCTGGGAAAGAGATTTTGAGCTACATCTCACAAGCAAATGTGGCGCCTTTCCTTCTTTAAAACAATTTTGTTCCTGGCAAACGTTTTTAAGGTTAAAAAGGCTTATATAACGTTAGTTAAGGTCAAAAACGGCATTCCTTTATTAAGGAAATTTGTATTTTCCTGGAAAAAATTCTTAGAACGTATTCCTGGCCTGGAGAGTTCCTTTTTCCTGAATTTCTCGCTGGTAACCAGTTGTGACTTACAGCTGGCTGGGACATAAGAACAGATATCTTCTCCCAGGAATGATGTATTTTGAGCATTATTATGGAGGATATTCATACCAACTAGCCCAGCGAAGTTCTGACTTATCAATATTTGGCGCAAAGCGGCTTGAGATCTGCCCTGTTAGTGACGTCACTGAATAAATTTCCATAAAGCAGAAATTCAAAATGGCGCCAAATTTGAAAACATTTTGGCTATTTTCTCGCAGCCTTTTTAATAATCCAGAAAAATAGACACCACTAAAATGTATCTATATGTAAGTACTTTTATTTAGAGGTTTTTCATTTTGATTGCCAATGTCCTTTAAGAGTTCATAAGTAGTTTAGGAAAATGACAGGCTGTTCACAGATTAGTAGATGCATGGACCATCTTTCCGATCACATGACCTCTCCAAACGCTTTAGTGCATGATCAGTGTAGCTGTGGCAGGGCCCCTGTGTCTCTTGACCAGATTCGTGACCAAACTATCCCACGGACTATCACTATTATAGTTTTCATACCAGTACTAAAAGATAGGTATCAACGCCTCAGGCAGTATAGAAGCCCGCACGCAATGTCAAGAAAGGCCTGGTAGATGACAATAATCTTGAAACTTAGCACATTTGATAATAGGTTTATAATCCCCGAGCTCTAAAATCAGTTTATTAACAAAATACGGAAGGCATATTCTCATTTATATAAAAAAATCATCTATTGATCATGAAAAGAGACTTTTCTGAAATAGAGGTAACGCCCTCGCAAAACCCAATATCACAATATCTCCTTGTTCCTTGTCTTGTCACGGCAAATAAAAATGAACAGTCCAGGAGTGTTTTGATACAATCTTCTAGAAAAGTTTCCTGATATTTATATCAAAATAGAAGTGAAAGACTGAGTCACACTAATCAAAAGAAATTGGAATTACGAACAGGATGTTTATCAAATCGCAGAGATCAAACCGAATGATATCTAGATAACAATCGATGTCCTCCTTTTATTCGCCGTCGAATAAAAAAAAGTTTATCTTTCAAGACAAAGGTTAAAATTAGACTGACATGGTTGAAACACCAGATTGCTTTCATTATTTAGAAAAAAGGGTCGTAAAGAAGGGACAAGGAGAAGATGTTGAGAAAATTTTCATTGCCATATTATAAGTCAGTCTTTTCAGTTCGAAAGTGTTTTTAAAAATTAGAACTCGGTTGGATTGTCTGACGTCTCAATATTGCATGCCCACTAGTTTGGGCTCTACTAGGGAATTGATTCAAAGTAAATTTAACTTATTATCAGTCACCGACTTATACAAAAGGTTTTGATTGTGTGAGGGGGAGGACAGAGAGGAGGGAGGGGGGGGGGGCAGTAAGTAAAACACTAGATTGATATCAAAGAAAAAGCGAAGGTAGGGAAAACCAAGAGAATCATGAAGCATAGCTGAAAACAGAGAGAGAGAGAGAGAGGAAAAACGTTGGGGCGAAATCAGAGGAGTAAATAAAACAGCTGAAAAGGTCGTAAGTCCTTAATGTTCAAGGAGACGAACCTTAGAAAAAAAAGAAGTTCACCTTTGAAAAGGCAAATAATCACAAGTGGTTTGTTATTGATGCTATACTCAAGCAATGTCTGGAAAGCCATATTGATTTTCGCTCTGTTTCACTGTAAAATAACCACTGCATGACGCAAGTATCATTAGCCATTGCCGCTAGCAATGGAGGAAACGGCTAAAAAAAACAGTCGTTTAGATAAGAAGTTAT